AGACGACACCTTTTTGCTTAGCTCTCTGCTGGATCCCCTGGAGTCCCCCAATGTACGACAGATGCCAGAAAGCCTGCCCAGTGCCCAGGTTCCAGGATTGGGCTCAGAGGGTGGGTTTGTACGCAGAGGAGAGGGAAGCAGCATAAATAACTGGGCCTGGAGGCGGGTACGTGTGTGCGCGTGCACCAGCGCCCGTGTGCAGACAGGGCCTGCCTTCCCGGACTGAGCCAGTATGGGCAGGAACATCCAGGTTTCTATAACCCAGCCCCACCATGCTCTGCCCAGGACTCCCCCCAGCCCACCTCAGGCCCTTGAATTGTGGCCTTTCTGGGGCAGGGATGGAGGAGGGGCATCCCCCACATCCAGGGCTTCACCCCCACCTTCCCACAGCGTTCTTCCCCGCCCCAGCTCCCTTTACCTGGCTTCTGAGGCCTGGGAAGGAGGGAAGGAGGAGAGAGGGGTGGGGTGAGAGGTGGGGGTAGTGGAGGGTAGTTATTTACAAAGCCTGTGCCCTGGGGACCCTTGTCCTGGACAACAATTACAGCCCCTTAATTAACTGAAATGCAGTCCGCCTGTCGATGGAGGCATGTACCCCACTGAAGTTTGCTGTGCCTGCCGCTGTCTAGTACTGGTTAATGAATATAAATCAGATAGTTTATAGTTAGCAAGCAGGGAACAGGCTGGCAAGGGCCTGAATTCCAATGCAGAATGCCCGAGGATAGGAACATGCCCTCTATAACAGAGGCCAGGGCACCCGTGGGGGCAGCACCGGTGGGGGGCAGGGGTAAGTCTGCCCACCTTGCACTCGGGCTCTGAGTGTACGCACAGGTGTATGTGCAGCCTGTGCACAGAAGGATCCCCCAGCACAGGCATGCCCTACACACACAATGTTACACACCCACAGAAGTGAAAGACACCCGCGTGGCCCGCGCCCTCTACAAGAAACACAGAAACCCTGAGCAAGCACAGCCCCCAGGAACCCCTGGCCCCTGCCCTCTTCTGAAATCCACTGGGCCCCGGCTCTGGGCAGCTTCCCCCTTGGAAGCCCGAGTCCCTGCACACTGCTCCTGCAAGGGCCAGCTCCCTGCTGATTCTGGGGTCAGCCCAGGCCCAGGATGCTGACTCAGTTTCCCCTCCCCAGGCTGGAGTTGCCAGACTGACTGCACCTAGTGGGGGCTGGGGTGGGATCCCTGGGGTGGGTCACTATGGCTGTAGAACCCTGACTCTAGGCAAGGAGGCTTCCAGAATGTGTGTGGGGATTTTACCCAAGGCCTTCATAGCAGCAGAGGAAGCAGACTGATATGGTCCTAGCTCAGGGCCAGGTTTACGGGCTGGTGATGTGTGCACCCAGCCCTGCGCTTAGAAGCTTTAATGGTTTAATGCTCTTCTCTTGCTGTCTTGGAAGTCTTAATAATTTTGAACAAGGGGCTCTGCATTTTCACTTTGCACTGGGTGCCCCAAATCCCGTAGCCGGTCCTGTTCTCAACCTTGACATAGGGCCAGTGGGACAAGGCTGTGGGCAAAGTGTGAGTTTGGGGTTTTCTTGTTTAGGGGGTCCCCGGACAGAGCTCTAGTGACAGGGGTCTCTTGTGGAAATTGCACTCTATCAGACCTGGGGCTCTGTCCTGCTGGCCTTGTTACCTGGGCAAGTCACCTCACCTCTCTGAGTCCCAAGTTCCAAGGAGATGACCTCCGATCCCTTCTAGCTCAGCCACTCCCCCCTGGGGAAGAGGCCAAACCTCTCTGCAATCTTGGTACACACACACACACACACACACAGCACAGCCAAAGCTTCAACATAGGGCTGCATTGTTACCTCTGGAGAGATGGATCTGGGCGTCCCCACACCCAGGCAAGTCCCAACAAGCTGCTTCTAAAGCCCAGAGACCAGCCAACACATTTCCGGGACTTGTTTACTCCCTCACTAGGGGGTGGGGGGCTCCAGCTGCGGGGCGTGGGGGTGATTGTGGCTTGGAGGGGCTGGATAAAGTAATTGGCATGGAAGGCTTGATGACACCCCCGCGTTCTACCTGCTGGTCCGGGCTGGGAGGGGCCACAATTATTTACTCCTCCTGGGCTCCCCTGTGGGGAGAGCTATGGGCAGAGGGAGAGCATCTGCGGGTTCCGCAGACAAAAGAAAATGATCCTATGACTGCGCGGCGGGAGTGGCAGGGACGCGGGCCAAGGTGGCTGGGCGGCTGAGGGGCGTGCGGGATGTGCACTCAGGGCGAGTCAGCGACCAGTGACCCCACGTGACCGGGGAAAGGGGCGCCGCCTCCCCTGGGTTGCCCCGCCCAGCACCGCGTTGGGTTCTAGTGCCCTGCCCCACCGTCGTGGTGTGGGGCGCCGCGTCTGTGGGGGCTGCAGGTCTGCGGGGGGGAGGCTGCCTTTCGCACCCCCTGTGGGCACCTCCGAGGCCCCGAAGTCTGCTAGTCTCGGGGCAGCAGTGTAGGGTGCCCCCAGCCTCCACTCTTATCCCATAGCCTAGGAGAGGGGCAGTCACTTATCCAGGCTGCTCTTTCTTTTTGATGGAGCCGACTGGGGAGGAGCGAAGCCGTGCCAGAGCCTCACACCTCAGTGGGTAGGTCTTTCACAGAGGCCTCTCCCAACCCTGGCTAAGCTGCTGTCAGTACACCCATTTCACAGGTGGAGAAGGAGCGCGAGAAGGCACTCACTTCCTGGAGTCCTGCAGCAACATGGCCTTTAAAGCTTGTGACTTCTCCCTGATTCCAGACCAGGGCCCTCCAAAGGAAGTCAGCGCTACCACCCCTAATTCTTCCCCGACAGCCACATCACATACTCCAGGAGGTGGACAGGACTCCACATCCCTGGCAGACTTGGGAGAGAAGGCCTTCCGCCTGGTGGCTCCAATGCTCTGACAAGTATCGCCAAACAATGTGTCCTCATAAACCCTTTCATGGCCTGGGGACATCTGCTGAGCTTCACAGCCCTGGGTGAGGGAGACCAAAGGGCATCAGGAACTGAATGCACAAAGGTTGAAGCCAGAGAAGGCACTAGAAGAGGTTTGCCCTGTGACTCATTCGGAGTTGAAATCCGTCTTGACTGCTAGCCCGGAGCACCCACAGACATCCCTGAGGTGCTGAAAGTAGACTCACCCTAGGGAAGTGGGCTCCCAGAGTGGGGGCGGGGTGGGCACAGGGAGGAGGGTGTTTTTCGTTTGGTTTTGCTTTGGTGAAAATCTGGCCAGGCTCTCCCACCCCTCCCTTCTCTGAGAGAGAGAGAGAGAGACTTGGTCCTCAGTTGGGGACATCATGTAAAATGAGTCTCTAAGACATGCTCGGATGCCAAGGGCTCTGTGGTCTTAGTCAGGGAAGGCTTCCCAGTGGGCAGAGCTGAGGGACGCTGTAGCAGGGCAAGGACAAGCCTGGGCAGAGATGGGGGACCCGAGCCTGAGTGGGCCTGCCTCTCCCCTCTCCAGTCTCTGGGTTCAGCAGGCAGCAGGATTGGAACCACTCTCCATTTTGAAGTGAAATGAGGAATCATGAGCTTAGGAAGCCGGTTACTGGTGGAGGATCCTTGACATCACCCCAACAGACAGCGAGACGGATGCTGAGGGGCAGCCCTGAAGGCTCAGAACCGCGAGGGTCAGGGTGCCTGGGACAGGCTCAGGCCCCGGGCTGTGGGCACTGTCCCCCTGGCTGGGAGAGGGAGAGAAGGCTGCTTTGGCTCAGGCCTTTCCATTCCACCCAGGAGGCTTGGTCAGAGCTCCCCTCTTCTTTGAGGCCTCCTCAGACCGACCCCAACCCACTCACAACTGTCCCCCGGTCACCTCCTCCTCCTGGCATGCACGGAGGCAGGAGGGCACCTCCGGGACTCACAGACCAGCCCGTGAATTCATCATTCAACGTGTCCTCTGAGGAACAAGGCAAAGAGGCGAGGGAGAGAGAGTGAGAAGAGGAACACCCTTGTCTGCTCTGGGGTTGAACTCTAGAAGCCAAGTTCTCAAACTGTCGGGGGTGAAAAGGGATACCCGGCTTCACCCCAGGGGCTTGAAGATAAGGAAGCTTGTGTCTGAGCTCTGCCTCTGAATTCACTGGGTGAGCCCCCCAGGTCCCCCACCCCCTGGTAAAACCAGTGGCCTTGGGGCTCCATGGGTCTGTGGGTGCTACTGGCCTGGGAGAGAGTTGGCAGGGGTGGCAGAGGGTCCTGTGCTGGGTTTTCGTGACCCTCCTCGGGCTAGGCTCTTCCCCCTGGACTCTGGCTCAGCCACCAAATGACCTTGAGAATGCCCCCTGACCTCTGAGGCCCTCAGTTTGCCCCTCTGTGCTAAAACCCCCTCCAAGGGATATCAAGAGGCAGACAGAATCTGGGTGAAAAGCCTGGCCCACAGGCCCTGGTTTACTATTATTAATTATTCTTCTTCACGACCATGCTAAGCGTCCACTTATACATGATGGGGAGGGGGAGGTCCTTCTGTGGCCCCCGCATAGGCCCAGACTCTTTTATTTCTCTCCCCATTTGCCAGATATGATAAAAACCTCAGCCAGCCTAGCCCACGCTGGGGAATGTGTGTTTGGAGAGAAGCGAGGAAAGCGAGGGAAAGGTTGACTGCCTTATCCCCCTCCCTCCCTTTAGCGTGGGTGACACCGGAGAGAAGCGAGCAGCTGACCCGGGTTTGAATTTAGAGTGTTCATTAATACGATATTATGCCATATGCTCCCGCACACTGTCTCCCTCTAATGCAGCCGCCAATTTGCTGAGCAGCCCTAATTAGTAATGGTATAATGAGAGTATTCAGAGGGTAATGTGGTGGGTGGGGATGAGAGCGATAGCATTGCTCCTGGCCAGGGTGGGGAGGGACAGGAGCTGGCTTTGAGGGTTGGGGCTGGGGGCGAGGGGTCCACAGCAAGGGGTCATCTGGACCCAGGGCTGGCTGAGGCCCAGGGGGCAAGGTGCCTTCCCCACGCCCCCAGTTACTTAGGGAGCAGGGGCTCAAGGTTGTGGAGAGGGGCGGGCGGGCAGCAAGGGGGGACAGGGTAGAGGGAGAGGAGAGAGAACCTGGGTGAAGGAGGAGGGAACGGATGGTCCTTTGTTCCTACCCAGACATGGATGCTAGAGGAACTGTAATGGAGATGCTTTGTGTGTGTGTGTGGGGGGGGGGGGGGGGTATGTGTGCATGTGTGGTGTGAGAATACTAAAGTCTTTGAGGGTGCCAGGCACTCTGCTGGCCCCTTACAATCACCCTGCCAGGTAGCATGACCAACACCATTTTTCAGACGAGGAAACTGAGGCTTAGAGAGGTTCAGAGGTCACTCAACTGGTGGAGGAGCAGAGGACTGGCAGCCAGGACTGGCCGACCCCAGAGCCGAGCAGCTGGGTTTGCCCCTCCCGTGCGGATGCTGTGGTCACGGCTGAGGGGTTGGGGATGGGTACAGCATAGGAGCGCCTGACTGCTCATCCTCCTTGCCCTTCCCTACTTACTCCTGGGTGCTTTATCTGTCCCCTCCTTCCATTCTCAGTCTGCAGTTTCCCAGCCTCAGTTCCTGGGGTAAGAGAATTTGCAGGATCTTAGGTGAGAAGCCTCTCTATGTGATGACCAGGACAGACTCCACACCTTCGTGCCAGTGCCAGTGGAACCTTTGGCCTGGGCAACTTGAGCCTCTGAGCTTACAGCAAAGTCTGCCCCAACCAGGGAAGAGCTGGGGGTCCCAGGGAGCACAAAGTGTCTGTGCCCCAGATTCAGGGCTGCCCCACCCCCTGTGAGCCTCCCAGTGCCAAGGGTGTCCACAGGAGCAGGTGGGTGGGCCCTGGAACCTGCATCTTGGAAACCCTATTGCCAGCGGCCCTCGCAGGCCCCCTCCTTCGCAGGCACGGCTGGGCAGCACTCCCTCCCCGGGTGATCACAGTTCTCCCGCAAACCCACGCTCAGGAGATGAAATATTCATCACGTACATATTGGCTCCTCCAGCGGCTTTTAGGGAAAGCAAATGAGACTGACTCCGGGAAGGAAATGAGTGTGAGGCATGGGGGGGACAATGGTGAGGACAAGGGTGGGGAGGCACCTCCTCCCAGCTTCAGCCTCTCTTGGATCCAGCTTCTGGGCACAGGCTGCACCTTCTATTCCTGGTGTCCCCAACCGACCACATCCTTACCCCCACCCACCAGCACCAGAGCCTCCACGTCTTCTCCTGGAAGATGGGAGTTCACAGTCTTACTCTTACACATCCAGGGAGAGCCACAAAGATCCATCTACACACCAGCCCCTCTCAGGCAGGTGCTGGGCCTCCAGGGGTGAGCAAGGCAGCAAAGTCCCCACCGTCACGGAGGACACAGATGATGAACAGGCCATAGATGTATAAGATCATTTCAGGTGGCGTATGAGGGAAACAAAACACTTATCTTAGTTTGGGTGGGTAAGGAAGGCCTCTCTGAGAAGGTGACATTAGAACTGAGACCTGGATGGTGAGGAGGAACTTTCCAGGCAGAGAGAACAGCACGTGCAAGGGCCCAGAGGTAGGAATGAGCCCCAAGTGTTGAAGGAACAACTGGAAGGCCAATGTGGCTCTGACTCAGGGGGAGAGAGAGCTTGGAGAGGGTCACAGGGGCCTTGGAAGCCACGGAAGACTTGGGGTTTATCCTAAGAGCAAAGAAAAGCCTCTGGATGCAGGAGGAAGGGCACTGGATTTGGAGCCAAAGTCCTGAGTGTGAGGCCTGAGCAGGTCACTTAACCTTCTAGCCTCACTTTCCTCATCTGTGAAATGGGGACAGGAAAGTCCAGCCCACAGGGCAGCTGTGAGGGTTAAACAGCATCATTTATGTGAAAGTGCGTTGCTCTTCAATGCTAGCATCACAACATTTCCCTCCACCTGTCCCTGTGTGAGCCCCCAAAGATCAGCCTGGACCGTACCAAGTGATGGACCTCAGAAGCCTGGCATGGAGGTCATTCAACGATTATTTACTGAGCAACCGCTGTATGCCTTGCTGCTATTATTGGTGCCAGGATGCAGCTGTGAACATGACAGACTCAGTATGGGCTGGAGAGAGCTGGACCAGCCCATTTCACAGACTGAGTATGGTAAGGTCAAGGCCACCCAGTGCTAAACTGTGAGAATGAGAGCCCAGGTCCCCTGACGACCAGTCTATTGTTCTCCCCTGGATTCAGACAATGGGTGCCCCGCCCCTGCCCTCCTGTAGCTGACAGGTCCTCCAACACCTGGAAGGGAACATGGTTTCCTGCCCCGTGGTCCTGCTTGAAATGAGGAGGAATTCTTCTGAGGGAGTCAGGAAGCTCTCTAGAGCTTTCCTGGCTGTGATGGGCCTTGAAGGACAGATTTTGGCTGTGAGGAATGGACAGACATCTGGCAGAAGGGACAACAAAGGCTTGGAGACTGGAAGCATGGGACATGTATGTGAAACAGTGGGTGGGTCTGTCAAAGAGCACAGAAGAGGAGCAGGGCACGATGGACCTGGAAGGGCTCTGGCTGCATTTCCCCCAGCAGTGGGGAGCCACGGGAGCTCTTCGAGTTGGGGAGTGCCGTTCTCAGGACGGCTCCTAAGACAGCTCTGGCAGCTCTGTGCTGACTGTATCAGAGGGGGAAAGGGAGGCAGGGAGAGCGGCGAGCAGACTATCGCAGTGGTCCAGGTAAGCGTTAACGGAGGACTCCACTGAAGCAGAGGCAGTGGCAAAGAAGAAAAAGGAGCAATTTGAGAGGCATTACAGAGGAGAACCCACCGCCACCTGAGTTGGGCCCTGGTGGAGTGTGGGGAGCAGGAGAGAGGGAGGAGACAAAGAGCTCTCAGAAGATGGGAGATTTAGCTGTTCTTTATTGATTCTGCGAACATTTCCTGAGTACCTGCAGAGGGTCAGGCCCTGTGCCATTCAGGCAGGAAATTGAGCAAAATTGTGCAAAACTTGAAGCCTTGTGATTTGTGCTCTTCTTGGTTTGGGGGATGGGGAAGTGGGGCGAGGGGTCTTCGGGCTCTGGTGCCCCTCTCAGAGCCTTGATTTTGTTCTCTGTAAAACGAAAGTGTTTCAAAGGACGGTCGTCCTTTGCCCACACAGCTCCCAGGGCCAGGGAAACAGGGCTGACTGCTTCCAGAAGCTTCTGGATAGATCCTCCGAATTCTGGTCACTCAAGCATGTGGAAATGAGGAGGGAGTGGGGAGAGGGGAGGAGCTCTCCTTCGAGGCTGGGGAGGCAGACCCATTTGGGGAGCAAGGAGCCCTGTCAGGGGTCATGGTCCTCTCAGGACTGTGGGGACAGGTCTCAGGGCCTCCTCCTTCCCACCCGGAGAAGCAGACCCAGGAAAGGGACACTTCAGGGACTGTGGCAGCAATTCCTTCAACAACAGGCAGCAGCTAACATTTCCTGGGTCCTCTGCGAGTAGCTTTACACGCATTAGGTCAGTCAATCCTCAGAGTCTCCAGGAACCAGGACTGGCAGCCTCCCATGTTCCAGATGAGGATACTGAGACCCAGATTTCTGAGACCATTCACAGCACCAGGTCTTGGAATTCAGGCTGCCTGACTCCCGCATCGAGCACATAACCTCTTCTCTGACCCTCTCTTCTGAGAACTCACCCAGGACCTGGAGCCCACCTGTCCTGCCATCTTCTCTGCTAAGGCCCCACCCCACTGCAGTGCAGGGGCCGCTGAATCCAGGGTGCCTTCCTGGGAGCAGAAACATCTGAAGAGGACTCTGGAGAAGAGGTAAAATTTGGACTTGCCAAGATGGGGGAGGGAAGGGCATTCCCAAAGTGCCTTTGCACCATCAGAGCAAAAGTGAGGCGGTCCCTCCTGAGTGCACTGGAGCTGGGGGGCTGAGCCCTGGGGCCCCCTTTGTCCCCGCCCTGTCACTAGTTTTCCAGGAAGTTTGCAGTCTCCCCCTGCCCTCCCCCACCTACCAGGGTGAAGGTTTGTGGGGAATGTTCTCCCGCAGAACTCGGCACGAAATAAATTCCATTCTTACTCTGCAAATGACACTGCACATAAATATTCAGTAAATTAGCAGCACGCTTTTATAGATTTATCAGTCATTGCAGGCACAAAATGACAGGCAATGTTGTAGCTGAAATATTAATGCTGACAAATTAATGATTTCTGAGTAAATGATGTCATTTTTGCACCGTTTCATTAAAATTTACTCACTTCTGCTTCATTTCTGGACCTAAAAAAAATTAAAATCATTTCTTTCTCTCTTTCTTCTTTCTTTTTAGTGTGGGATCGGTTCCCAAACCTGAGAGGGACATAAATTTTCCCCAGCAGCACCCCGGAAACGGAGGTGGGGAGCTGGGCAAGGCTAGCCTCCCCTCCCCCAGGCCCTGGGGAGGAGCTGGGGAGAGACCCCCGGGTCCCAGAGCCGGTTCCTGGGCCTCTGCTCTTAGTGTCGGTGGAACATAGCAAAGTGGGCTCTCTGGGTCAAGCCTGGAGTGAGGGTGGGGATTATAGGGGACCGTGGGGCGGGATCTTGGGAAGGGTGTGTTGTGGTGGGGGGCATGTGGGGACAGAAGAATGGGAGGAAGTCATTACCCTTCCCCCTTAGCCAACTCTCAGGGTCTCTCCCATCTTATTTGGCCTCCTTTCTTGCAATAAATTTGGTGAGTGCTTAATTCCCGTAACTTCTGTAGTAGGAAAAGGGGTCAATACCAAATGTGTAAATATGGCCGACCCACCTCTCACAAAAGATCTTGGAATCAATAGATTTGAGTCCAAATCCGGGCCAGACCCTTATGCGCAGTGTGACCTTGGGCAGGTATCGTTGCCTCTCTGAGCCTCAGTTTCCCTTTCTCTATCTCCTCATTTCTCAGGGCTCCTGGGAAGATGAAATGGGATGGCGTATACAAGGCCCCGGACAGGGACAGGTTCCCCAGTCAGACACCCCCACCAGACGCCCTCCCCCAGGCTCCTAGCCGCTCCCGGCCCCCAGCTGGGGAAGGTGAGAGGGGCTTCGGGGAGGAGCAGCGAGGCCCCCCGCGCGCCCGGGGGCTGGGGTGGGCCCAGGGTGACCTTGGCGTCTGCGGGGGGGGGGGGGGGGGAGCCCCGCGCCGCCCGCTCGGTCTGGTAACCGTGGCCAAATGCAAACTAGCTCCTGGCCCCGGCCGGCGCGGCGGGAGCGGAGGGCGCGAGGCCGGGAGAGGCAAAGCGGACACAAAGGAGAGGCGAGGGAGGCGCGCGGCCGCCGGAGCCGGGCCGAGGCGTATCGGGCGATCTCCGGGCTAATTCGTGTCAGGGCCGGCCTCCTATCTCCTGCCCGGCTCCCCGGCCGCTGATAAAATTGAAGTGGAAATGAAGTTGGACGCTCGGGAGGATCCGCGCGACAGTGGGGGTGGGGGTGGGGGTGGGGGTGTTGCGCCGCCGGGGCAGCTGCTCCTTCGGCGGCCGCCCTTGGCGCTGCCCTTGGCCAGGCCGGAAGGATGGGGATGCCGGGCGGGAGGGGAGGAACGCCCCTGCCAAGGGCCCTACAGCGGCTACAGACTCTGTCCCTGTCCTGTTATCATTTACCCAGCCATAGGAGTGGGGTAGAAATAACACGCACGTTTATTGAGAGCTTACTATGTGCCAGGCTCAATGCCAGGTGCTTACAGTGAGTTATTCTCTTATTTAACCGCCCCCTATATGAGGCGGATGGAGTGTCCCCATTGTCACGGGTGCAGACACGGAGGCACCCAGACTCGCGGCTGGCCCGGGGACAGCTAACAGGGAGCGGCGGATTCGCACCCAGGCGTCGGCATAAGGCAGCTGGGGCGCTTCACCACCTCCCTCGGCCTCCGCTTAGGAGCGCCCCGCGTCGCTGGAAGAGGACACAGGGGCGTGGCGCCGGCCGTTGCGCATGCCTGTTATGAGGCAGGCCTTCCAGCCATCATCTCCCCTGAGCTACGAACCTTGGTAGTATCGCCCCCACGTGAGGAATCTGGGGCTGAGACAGGACGGAAGGGATCAGGCATGGCAGCAGGGGCTTGGGGAATGTGGGCATGCTGGGGTCAGTTCTGGATGAGGTCTAAGCTGCACCTTACTTTTCGCCGGGAGGGGAGTAGGGGCCTGGATTTGACGATTGGCTCTTGTAATCCAATCTGGTTATTATTCACTTATATTCATTTCTATTTTATTCATAAGTTGGCCCCTGCCTGCCTCACCTCTGTCACAGCCTGCCTGTTTCCACCTCTCTCTGGCTCCAGCCGCACTACCAGCTTTAGGCCCTCAATGCCTAAAGGGAAATTTAGGCAAGGGAAAATTTCTGTTCCGGCAGCTTGGAAGGCTCTTCTCCTGGGCAACTTTTTCATCTTTCAAGTCTCATGATCTTTTAAATAATCCTTTTCATAATATCCATATACACTGATATGCCAAAGTGAATACACTGTATTTTTTTTCAATTGGATACGGAACAGTAACCCAACTTGAACACCTATTAATTAGGTCACAAGGGGAGTCTTAAAACATTCCAGAGAATCACCATTATACAGAACATGTTCTCAGACCACAGCGCAATAAAATCAGAAATCAAGCGCAGACAGAGAGCTAACAAAGCCCCTTGTGTTTTGAAATGAAAAACTTCACTTCTGCATAATCTGTAGGTTAAAGAGGAAATCAATAAAAATTACTAAATATTTAGAATTGAATGATTATGAATGCACTTAGTATTCAAATTTGTAGGGTACAGTTAAAGCAGTGCTTACAGGGAAACGTATAGACATAAGTGTATGTGTCATCTTTAGGGCTGTTCACCAAATAGTTCTAGCTCTTTGCCTTCTGTTCATATCCAGAGTAGGCTCCCTCTGTTATGTTTCTGTTCTTTCAAAGTACTTGCCACACGTCCATATTTATTTCTGAGCATAGTTTCTTAGTGTCTGCGCTGCTGGCTAGACTGGATACTCCAAAAGAACAGGAGCTATAGCTGTTTTACTTACCATTGGATTCCAAGCATCTAACACAGGCATACAATAGGTTTCAATAAATATTTGTTGAGGGAATAAATACATTATTAATGAAATGACAACCTCCCCTCTTTCAAAGCGGATTTGAGATGGCCTGTAACAGATACATATAGCATGTTAGTTAAAAGTACAGCTTGGCAGAGGGATGAGAAACCTGGGAGAGTCAGTAATTAAGTGTGTGGTGGGGAGGGAGCAGCACTGGGGGTGCTGGTGCTCAGATGACCTCCACTCTTCCCAGCATCAGGCTTTTGGACAGCTGAGAAGGTGGGCAGGAGGAGGACGAGGAGCGTCTGGGTGAGGAGCAGGACTGAAGAAGCTGAGTGGATACCCTGCAGACACCAGAGGAGGGATGTTTGGGGAGGCCCTTGGGAACAGAGAACACCAACTAGGTGGGTGGTGGGGAGAGAGATGGAGGCGAGAGGCTGAGCATTTGCTCATTTGTTGATTCATTCCCCAAGTCCTCTGGGCCCTGTAAGCAAGGGCTGTAGAGCTGCAGCTGGTGTGGGCCGGTGCCTGCAGTGGCTCTGAGCTCCCAGGGCTGCATTCTGGTGCCTCTGGGGCAGTTGGATGGGCCCCTTCTGTGGTCAACAATGGACAAGAGACTACCGCCACAGAACGTCCAGCCAGGCTCTGCCTCGGTCCAGCTGCCCGCCTAGCTTAACTCTCGATTTCCATTTCACAGTAGCTCCTGCTTGAGAGAACATTTGATGATATTCCCTCTCACAGAGTGAGACAGATTAGCTGAGCCATTTTTATGGTTCTTTCTAAGTGCATGGCAAAGGAGTTATTTTCTAAGAGGGGTTTACATGAAGGAAACTCTACTTGGAGTCAGAAAACTATATCTGAGTCCTGCTTCTGTCCCTTACTAGCTGTGTCACTTTGGACAACTTCCACCCCCTCTCTGAACCTGAGTTTCCAACTCTGGAAAAAAATGGGTATGAAAATAGTAATATGTGCCTCACAGGTTAAATAGCACAGAGATAGAAAGGCAAATAGCAATGAGATTGTGTATGTGTTGAGAGATTCTGTAAATTATGAAGTCTTACACAAACATCAAATTTTACTATTATTCAAGATCTTCCTTTGTGTGTGGTCCCTCCCTGGGTCCACACAGGGATCCCTGAGATCCTCTCTAGTTCCTACTGCTCCCGTAGGACACTGCATACCCCCTCCTCCCTGCTGAATCTAAATTAATTGCTTCCAGTGCTGTCTTCCAGCAGCACCACGTATGGGCTTCTTTGGGGCCCTCTTGCTATCTGCCTTGTGTAGGAATTACTTGTGTGTGGTCTGCCCCTCTTGATCTAAGAGTCTCTGAAGGAAATGACCTTGACTTCTCATTCCCAGATCCCTAGGGTTCAGCATGGTGCCCAACACATAGCAGGGGCTCAAAAACTACCTGTAGAATTAAATACTTTTGATTCTTTGTTAACTTATCAAACCAGTATTTTCTGGGAGAATTGTTTTTAGAGTTTTATAAATTATAGAAACAATAAAACTTTAAATACAATTTTGAGAAGAGAAAAAAATTACCTAGAATCCCACCACTATATGTCGATGCTTATTTTCATTTTTGCTTATTCCTTTCCAGTCTTTGTTTTATGCCTGAATAGTTTACATTGCTGCAAACATAGCATGTGTTCAGTGTTTTTTTCATTTCACATTATCTCAAACATTTGTATACTTTCTACATTTTCATAATGATGTTTTTAATGGCATAGAGTAGATGTACCAAAATTTGTCCATTTTTTTCCAATCATATATGGAACTGTTACCAAAATTGAACATATATTAGATTACGGAGGAAGTCTCAAAACATTCCAGGGAATCCACATTATACAGGACATGTTTTCAGACCACAATGCAAGAAAATTAAAAATCAACCACAGCAAAAGAGCTAACAAGACCTTCTATGTTTGGCAACTAAAAATCAAACTTCTAAATAATTCATGGTTAAAGAGTAAATCCATGAAAATTAATTAAATATTTAGAATTAAATGATAGTGAAAGGGTTAACAATTCTGAACCACAATACATGGATACTGGAATTGAACATTTAAGTTAATGGATGGGAGCCAGGCTTCTCGCTGTTGTGGAAAGTTATAGCTAAGTAAAGCATTGAGGCTAGAATGGTCCATGTGGCAGTAGATCAGAGCCGGAGACATCAGAGTGAATTTACGCTTAGTTTAATATAGATACAGGTGCTTACTTACAGAATTATATACAGATATGTGTGCATATGTGGGTTAGTATACACACACATATTTCCTTGCTCTGCCAGCTGAGAGGGCCTAGAAACAATGGCTCCAGTAGCAATGGGCACACCTTGCACCCAGATCTTGGTTTCTAATACCATTCTTCAGTAAAAGGAAGCAGGGTTCCTTAGAGAAATGACTGATTCTAGAACTGGGGCAGGAAATACACAAGATGAGCCTGGAGCATTTCGCAGTGCCAGAAAGTGAGAGAGTGCTCAAATATGAAACCACTCACATTGATGAGGTTCTAAGAGACATAGGAGCCAACTGAGAGCTCCTAGCATCCCAAGCTGGAGCAATTTGAGCAACAAATAAATAATGTAGTATTGGATTATAACCCAAACTAAATAAATATCCGTGAATCCATACTGGTTTATATAAATGGTTGAATAAATAAATTAGTAGGGAGAATAGACAAATCTCCTGTGTAGAAAAATTACAAATAATTTATGTAGATACTCTGCCCTCAAGGAGGTGTGGTCTGTGCACAGTGACTTTCTTCCAAAGAGTACAGTATGGAAAGGGAGAAAAAGGAGTAATTTTATGGTGGAGAAATCTGATAAACACTACGTCAGCCAGGTGATCAAGGTCAACATCAGCCGTGATAAGTCATATTGATAGTCTGTACCCTTGGTTTGATGTGATGAGAACGGCACTTTACCTCTGTGGTTGCCCTCTCAAAAACCCTTAACCCCAGTCTAATCATGAGAAAAACATCAAATGAATCTCAGTTGAGGAACATTCTACAAAATACCTGACTGATACTCCTTAAAACTGTCAAGGTCGTGAAAAACAAGGCAAGCCTGAGAAACTGTCACAGCCAAATGGAGCCTAAGGAGACGTGAGGATTACTGTAATGTGGTACCCTGGATAGGATCCTAGAACAGGACAGTGGATAAAAACTAAAGAAATCTGCATAAAGTATGGACTTTAGTTAATAATAACATATCAATATTAGTGCATTGATTGTGACGAATGTACCACACAAATGTAGGTTATTAATCTAGGGGAATTTGGGGGTCATGTATATGAGAACTTCCTAGGTGCCATCTTCACAAATTTTCTGTAAATCTAAAACATTCTCAAATTAAAAGTTTATTTAAGGATGATAATAAAAGTACTAGGTAAAATTGGTAAGGAGCAGTTAAAGCAGGATTTAGAGGAAAATTTATAAACTTAAAAACATTAGTGCCGTCCACCAGATATTTCCAGCACTTTGGCACATGGTAGGACTGCACTTTCTGGTCCCTTCATGGGGCCGATGGGTTGTGAGCTGAAGTGATTTGTGTCACGTCCAGGAGCGAACATTTAATGACTGGTACAGGACCATCCAGTGATCTCTTTCTCTCTGCCATGGCAACCACCAGTATTTCAGACATAGGCTGCTCTCCGAGCTGATGGCCTAGAGTGAGGCAGAACCCCCAGCCAACCTGTAATAGACCAGTAGTACAAGAGAGAAGTAAGCCTTTACTGTTTTAAATGACTGGGATTTTGCTGGTCATTATTGTAGCATGATTTAGTTCATCCTAACTGATACAGCAAGTATTTAAAAATATGTATCAGACAGATTGCTTTCAGCTATTAAGTAACAGAAAACCCAGCTCAAATTAGCTTAAACTGTAAGGGGATTTATTATCTCTATCATAAGATGTTCTGAGGCAGGATTAGTTAATTCAAAGGCTCAGTGATGTCATCTTTCCGTTCTGCCATCTTTACTTCCAAGTTTACTGTTCAAGCCACTAAGTTTTGGGCTAATTTATAATGCAGCAATAGACACTAATTAACAGTGTGTAAGGATTAGCCACTTGGAGCTCTGGTAGCCATTTGCCAACATGAAGGGAGCTAGCTAAGAAGTGAGGCTAGTCATTAAAAGAGTTTGACACTGGCCAAGGTTTGTGATGGAGATGCTAGCTGTCCACCAAAATCCAATTTTTTCTTTTTGCATGCTAACAGAGTGGCACTTAGGCACATGGCAGCCTAGCTGGGCATGACATTTTCCAGCGCTTTTTGCAGTTTGGTGATGCTATGAGCTATGCTGTCACCAATGGAATATGAGTGGAAGCGAGGTGTTCCCCTGCTGGGCTATGATTCTTACAGCAGCAGGAGTGTTTTCTCCATGTTCTTTCTTCTTCCTTCCCCCAGACTGGAACTCAAATGTGGCAGTGACCAGATTTCAACAGGGAACGATTGAGCCACAAGATGGAAGGCACATGGGCTCCTGACTGGAGCAGAGTAAACCTTGTTCTTTAAGTCACATGATTGTTGGAACTCTTGTTTTGGCAGCTTGTTTTTTTATCCTAATTAACACAGTTAATTAACACAGATAAAATAAACAATAAAATAGAATAGAGAGCTCAGGAACATATTCATATCCCTATATGGGATCATGGCATATGTTAGAGATATCGCTAATCACAGGGAAAAGAAAGACTAGTTAATAACACAGCTGTGACACGTCATTCACAAAAATAAAATGTAGATGTTTTAGTGACCTAAACATGAAAAACAATTAGAGGTTAATATTTTTCATAACCAGAATAAAGAAAGATTTCTCGAATAACACAATAAGAACAACCAATAAAATATAGATTTATTTAACTTTATTAAAATTAAATCTTGTCTAAGGCAAAATATACCATAAGCAAGATTAAAAGGCAGGCAATTTACTGGGAAATATTTGCAATATATAACGTATCTATCAGAATGTATAAAGAATGCCTATAATCTGTAAGAAAAGGACAAACAACCCAACAGAAAAGTAAGAAACAATATGAACAGACAATTCACAGAAGAGGATAGTCAAATGGCCACTAAAGCCATGAAAAGAAAAATGAGATACTTTTTTCACTCATCAGATTGGGAAAAATTAAGAGGCCTAGTAATATAAAGTGTTGGTGAGAATGTGAGGAAAATGATACTGCTATACACGGCCGGTGGAAGTGTAAATATTTCCATTCCGAGAGCAAATAAGCAGCAACTAATAACATTTAAAAATGTGCATACTCTATGACCTATTCAGAAAATTCAATTTCTGGTTTTGTTCCCTGGAGAAATTCCGACATGTGCATACATAAGATGTACACTGTACTACACTATTGTTTACAAGTAGCCAAATATTGGAGACAATATAACTGAATATCTGTAGAGGAATAAATTAATGATATATGATATGTTTATACAATGGGATATTATACAGCACTTTAAGAGGAATGAATTAGATCTATACCTCTCCACATGGATAGTTTTAAATAATGTAATGTGGGTCAATAGAAACAAGATTCAGAATAATATGGAAAATGTACCACTAATATACCTTTTAAAATGTAAAAATAGTATAAATTTTTTTTAAAGATTTTATTTTATTTCCTTTTTTCTCCCCAAAGCCCCCAGTACATAGTTGTATATTCTTCGTTGTGGGTCCTTCCAGTCGTGGCATGTGGGATGCTGCCTCAGCATGGTTTTGATGAGCAGTGCCATGTCTGCGCCCAGGATTCGAACCAACAAAACACTGGGCTGCCTACAGCGGAGCGCGCGAACTTAACCACTTGGCCACAGGGCCAGCCCCAAAAATAGTATAAATTTTTAAAAAATATATTATGAATGGATGTCAAGATGTTTTAAATGGAAGGATTCACCTCAAACTCAGAATAATGGTTCCTTCTTGGAGAAAGGGGATAGCACTGGGAGTGGCAGTGAGAGGGGAGTTTATGCCTGTAATGTGTCTTTTCCTTAAAATAAAACAAAAGCAAGTAAATATGACAAAATGTTAACTTTACTAAAGGTGTCAGTCAGGGTCCAATCAGGAGACAGGAAGAACACAGGGAAAATTTAATATAAAGAATTCCTAACTAGTTAAGGTGGTTAACTCCTCAGAGGGTGAAAGAGCCCGCTGAAGGATACAGGAATAGCAAACGAGGGGAGCAGCTGCTACGTCCAGGGCTAAGAGAGAGTGTGCCCAGGAAGGAACACACTTGCGAGAGGGCCCCCCAACCCAAGGCCAAGAGAGGGTGTGGCTGTGGACCCCACGGAATTCACTGAGGTGCTTCAGCCAGAGGTGCTCCACAGCTGCCAGGCGATAGCATGGAGGAGGGGAGCATTGCTGGCCCTCCCATATGCTGCTGGCAGCTGCGCCACGGGAGTGGACATTGCACGGGAGCCAGGAGGAGATGGCCCTTCCTCTGCTATGCCTTCAGTGCTCCTCCAGCACCCTCTCCTCACCAAGCCTAATGTTGTGCCAGCTGATAAAGGGGAAGCCTTTACAGGGTGCAGCTCCAATATCCCAAAGCATGCACACCATGGTGGATTTGGAGCTGAGAGGCAATACACTGACAACTGGCACACTAATGATGGATGGTGGGAATACAGGTGCTGGTTATATTATTCCTCATTTAAGGCTCTCAGAATAAAAGTATTAAATGATTACAAGTTAAAGAATTTTTTACATGATATTTTAAAGTTAACCACTAATGAAATAAAAACTTCTTCCAGAACACTAGGGAAGAAAAGTAAAAGGGACAGTGGAGATTAGAAGATCAGAATCTCAGAAAGAAAGAATAAAACTTAACCAGAAGGTAAAACCAAGAGGCATTTGTTTTTGCAAAGGAATTATTTTCCTTCTATCAAGAAGACCAAATCAGTTAAATACCAAAAAAAATGTAAATGCGTAAAACCTCCTTATTAAAAGACAAAGACTTAAAGATTGAGTCAAAATTAAAATTAAATTATATGCTGTTTATGAGACACCCTTAAAACAAAGAGACAGAATTTAAGAGTACCAAGGTGAGTTTTTCCCATGACAATCCTATCTTACTTGGTGTCCTTTCTTTCTTCTTTTCTGTACCTATCAAAACCCTCCTAATAGATATATGTAATTGTCTGTACATGCCTGAAAATCTCTCTTGACGAATAAGCACGAAGCTGATAACACTGGTTACCTCTGGGGAGGAGAGCTGGGTGATGGGGAAATAGGAGTGGGAGGGAGGCTTTTCTGCAAATCTTTCTGGACCTTTTGAATTGTGAACCATATGTACATATACTACTTATTTTTTTTTACATAATAAAAACAAGCTCCCCCACCAAAAAAAACTAAACAAAAACTAAAACCAAAACCTTATGATCTTTAAGACAAAGCTGCCCCCTATCCTCAAAAAATTAAAAATAGAATTACCATAGGATCCAGCAATTCCACTTCCAGGTATATTCTCAAAAGAATTGAAAACAGAGCCTCACACAGATATTTGTACATCCATGTTCATAGCAGCATTATTCACAATAGCTAAAAGGGGGAAGTAATCAATGGATGAATGGATAAGCAAAATGTGGTATAACCATACAATGGAATATTATTCAGCCTTGAAAAGGGAGGAAATTCTGACATATGCTACAACATCGATGAACCTTGATGACATTATGCTGGATGAAATAAGCCAGTGACAGAAAGACAAATACGGTATGATTCCACTTATATGAAGGGCTTAGAATGGTCAAATTCATAAAGACAGAAAGTAGGATGGTGGTTGCCAAGGGCTGGGAGGAGGGGGGAATAAGGAGCTATTGTTTAATAGATGCAGAGTTTCAATCTTGCAAAATAAAAAGAGCTATGGAGATGGATGGTGGTGACAGTTGCATGACAATATGAATGTACTTAATACCCCTGAACTGTACTCTTAAAAATTATTAAGATAGCAAATTTTACATTATGTGTATTTTACCACAATAAAAAAAACTGGAAAAAAAAGACACAGCCACCCCTTTCCAAGGGCCCTCTCTACCCGCCCACTCCCCACAGACCTCACCTTCTCTGACCCTGTGTCGCTCTTAGGAAAGTCCAGCTCATCCCTAGGTGTGTTGGTTTCCTGTAAACAACCACAGACTCAGATTCTTGAAGACAGGGGCCTTGTTTTATTTATTTATTTATTTTTTTAAAGATTGGCACCTCTATTGCCACTCTTCTTTTGTTTCTTCTTTCTTCTTCTTCTCTTCCCCAAAGCCCCCCAGTACATAGTTGCATATTCTAGTTGTGAGTGCCTCTGGTTGTGGCATGTGGGATACTGTGCCTCAGCATGGCCTGATGAGTGGTGCCATGTCCTCACCCAGGATCCCAACCGGCGAACCCTGGGCCACCCAAGCAGAATGCACGAACTTAACCACTCAGCCACGTGGCCGGCCCCTCTTTTTTTTTTTTCTTTCTTTTTTAACTCTGTACTCTTGGTGGCAAAATACTTAATGACTACTTGATAGAATTGACACATTTTGCCTCCTGGACCAAGCTTACCCTTGGAGGGCACATATTCTGGGGCTCTGGAAGTCGAAACACTACCAACTTGGTGGTATGGTGGCAAGAGCCCAGGCTTGGGAGTCAGCCAACCGGGACTAGGAGACGGCTCAGCCACTGTGGCCGACGCTGCCCTGAGCCTCAGTTTTCCCCTCCAAAAAATGGGATGATAATGTGTGACGAAAGACAGTGTGGGTCATTCTTATCCGTCTTCTGCCTTGAGAGAGCTCACAGATCAAAGGCTTGTTTCTTTTCCGCCTATGCTTTTCCTGTCTCTATGTCAAGCAGCAGAGAACAGAACTCTGTTGAGGGAACAGAATATTCCTTAGTTATTTTTTCCTTTTTTATACCTCTTTTTCCTTTTGAGATAATTGTAGACTCATACGCGGTTGTAAGAAATAACACAGAGAGATCTTGTATACCCTTCATCCAGCTTCCCCCAGTGGTAACGTCTTGCATAACTCCAGTACAACACCACAACTGCAAATTGGCATCGGTACAGTCCACTGGCCCTGTTCAGATTTCACCAGTTTTGCACACACTGGTGTGTGTATGTGCATATGTAGTTCTCTGCAGTTTTATCCCACGTGCAGATCTGTAGACCCCTCATGCTACCCTTTTAGAGCCACAGGCCTTAGTTACATTTAAGGGCTCCTGTTTCAGAAGGACATTTACCCTATGGATCACTGAGGGTTCTTTCAAACATTCCAATCTACCCAACCCCACCATCTCTTTTACCTTGCTTTCTCTCCCACATCCTAAATGTTGTCCCTTAGAGAGCTGGAACAAGTAACAGGTGCATCAGAGAATTCCCTAGTCATCTTGATTAGAGTGCATCCCTATGTCCTCTGGAGACCCTTGGACTCAGGCAGGGCCCCTGTTCCTCTGAGTGGCAGGCCACTCATGTCATCAGACATGCACTAAACCCGCATTCCTGTCTCCCTCTAACCCTGTGCTGAAGAGAAACTATCACTCTCGTTTCCTGATTAGAAGGGATGGTTGGCTCCTGAGAGTTGGACATGCCACCTGGTTAGTGTGGTCAAGTCCTTCAGTCCAGCCTGGGCTGCCAAGAGCTCACGTTGGCCAGCTCCTGAATCACCTTTCTCTCCCTGAGTGGGAGTCCTTTAAGCTGCAAGTTCCAGTTCTGGGTCCTTTTATCCTCATAAGACACTATAGTCATTGGGTGTTTGGAGTCATGCCAAGGGAGCAGCCGGTAAGACCAGGGACCCAGAACTCTCACCATGTTCCTATCAGGTGGACTTGTTCACTGAGGAGTGGACCCCGTCAAAGGTGCCTGGTCTTTTGTTCCCTGGAATCCACTTCTCAGGTATGTGCTGGGGTCCCTTGTGGCTTCACTGATACTGGTGATCTACTCTCTCTGAGCCTCAGTCTCCCCATCTGTAAAATGGGACCAGTAAGCCCTCATAGGGCTCTCTCGGTGCTTAAGTGAGATCACCCTGGAGTAGGCCAAGGGCATTGGTACCAAGCACTCAATGAGAAAAGCTGTTAGCTGCCATCCTATTTGTCATGCTTCTCCTGCACTCCTGAGTCAACTCCCATATATGTCACTCCCCTGGGGCTGGACTTCCCACCCTCACCTTTCCATATCTTTCTCTAGATTAATTGCCCTAAGAGTTGGGTCTCCTCTTCCCAAGGGTGGGAGGAGAAACCAAAACAGGTGGTGTGTAATCAGGGACTTAAAATGACTCAACTGTCCCCTGGCTGCATCCCCTGTTTGCCAGGCCATCTAAGTCACTTCCAGTTTTACAGGATTAACTTGCTTGCTCAGACTCCCAAAGAAACCCAAGGTCTCTCTCACTGTCTTTCAGGGCCCAGGACAGAATAACTCAGGGCTTCCCCTGGGAGAGGGAAGGATGAATAGTGGGAGGCAGAGCCCAGATCTTGCTTCTTTTCTTCCTCGGCCCCTCACCACCCCCAGCCCTGCCGCCATTCCATGAAACCTGGCACCCCGGGGTATCCCTGGGGCGGGTGTGGGCCTGCTGGCCCATCTCTCTTTACAGGGAGGCAGGATTTGGCTAATAAGAACCAGCTGTGT